TTCTTCTGATGGGATAATTCAATGAATGGCTGGATGTATGAATTGATGATTGATAGATAGCTGGATTGATAGATAGATAGATAGATAGATAATAGATAGATTGATAAGACGCACAGAAATTTACACGATTCATAGAGGGATATACATATATACATATGCCGATTCTCTTTTCTCTGGAGAAGCTATAAGATACTGCCCTTGAGCTATAACTAATTAGCGTTTTCTCTACCTAGTGATGAAAGCTTAACCGTAACATATGCAGGCATATTGGGATATTCAGACAACAGAAAAATGATAACTCATTAGAAACAAATGCCTGATTAGAAATGTAGTTATTTTTTTTAATTGGGAACAATAAAATACAAATAAAAACATTCTAATCACAAAAGAATCAAATCCAAAGAATTATGAAAAACAAGCCAATGAAGAATGTCTACTTTCTTGCTTGTGCCCCGTCTGCCCATACCCCCACCATATCATGAAACAGACTCGAACCATCCTACCCCTCCCGGGGGCTCCAGATGTGCACCCGCCTTCTGTCCCCACCCCTCCGGAGATCCGGAGGGGTGGGACCCCCACCACCCTAGAGCCACTCTTCTCCCTGCTGCCCGGTCCAGGTGCGCCTCCCCTCCGCGGCCCTCCGGGGTTCCAGCTGCGCCCAGTCCACCCGCCGCCGCTGTGGGGAACCCGCCGCCCCCGCCCCCGAGTTTTGGATTCCAGGGTCTCCCAAGTCCGATGGCCTCGGTTTCTTTTATATTTTCTCGTGCTCCCGGGGCCAAGTACCCCCGAGGCCGATCCCAGGGCAGGGGTTCGAGCTCGGGGAAGCGCAGGTTTCGCGGGTGCTGGCACGAGGCCGGCCGCTGCCCCCAGCCGGTCTGGGGACTGGTCGACAGGCTGGGGAGGCGGCGAGCCCCGGGAGCGTGCGTCCTCTCCCTGCGCCCCACACAGTGCAGTTCATTCATGAGCCGCCCGGGCCTGCGGTGGAGAAAGGAGTCAGCGCGGAACCGGGAGTGGGGCAAAGGCCCAGCGGGGAGGAGGCGCGCTTTGTCCCTCCTGGCCTTCTTGACCACCGAGGGAGGACAGGCTCACAGCTTTGGCGCCTTGTGTCCCAGAAGAGTAGGACG